CGGAAGTTTGGGATCGACAGAAAACTGATGTTTACCTTCCAATCACTATATGTTGATAGGAATTGCTGCATCAGAATAAATGGCATAAACTCGAGACATTTCATAATAGGCACTGATCTCCGCCAAGGGAACATTCAGTTCCCCACTCCTTCCTTCCGCACTCCTTGAACATAAATAGGATAATCAGGTGCGGCAAAGATGACGAACATATGAGAACACGCAATGTTGAGTCGATAAGTTTGCCATTTGGAAACGACTCTATTCTGCTGGCATCTTCCGAAAATGATCTCCAATGCATTCCGAAATGGTTCGCAGCTAAGTGCGACGTGGCCAGCATGCATATGATCGTATCGATGACCAAAGTTCTGACGCCTTATACCGATCCTCTGCTTTAGGAACAAATGAAGGAAGAAAAGTGAAGAATGTGAATAAATGAAAAAGTTAAAGCGTTTTGAGATCGTGCCTGCTGTTGATAGAAAACGGCAGGGGGAAAGTTCAGCCAACGAATCAGGGTGGACGGTGTCAGTCTCCATGTATTATTATGAACCTTCATAACTAAGGAAGATCTGAGTCCGAAGGCAAATCTAAGTGTGTTCAAATCGATTTTTATCCACATGCATACTTATTTTATTGTCGAGTCGGTCACCATTGACTAACTGAGATTTCGGTTACAATCGACTAAAGTGGGCCTTCTGGAAAGAATTGCCCGTCTCTATGGAGTTCAGACATTCGAGAGAGTCTTTGAGTACAGCCGCTCCTTCTTCAAATTAAAAGTCACAACTGCGATGGTCTGATCAGTTATTCCGAGTTTTTGCCGAGAGTAAAGTGAAAGAGCTACGACTAGTTCAAATGATTGGACAGAAGATACCGAGAATGCTAATAATGACCTAGGGCAGGTGGCTGGACGGACCGTGCTTCGGAGTCGGCTTACACTCTGTCAAAACTCAGACTCATGTGCAGAACAGAAAACGTTGGAGACACTGTCTATTGCTTCTGCCTCATCGATGCGAAGGCATCAACGCCATTAAAATTGCTTGAAGACCTGATTAAATAAGTGAATCGATTGCTACTTCACCTGCAAATCGTTCTTACAAATAAGTGTCAATTTCGGCTCTAATTTCAAAGCATAATATTAGATTTGCAGTATGTTTGGAAAACTAGATGCTCTTGGGTTAGCGTTTAGCTAAAATATCCGTTTAACTTCAGTGAATTTCTCTCAGTGTTAGTCTAGAGTTCGTGTTCCTCTAGTAGCGTGGTTTTGCAGTTCTGCGCGGTTGCAGGTTTCGAAATTTTAGCACTTACTGTGCATCAGTAGTCACTTACAAACTTAGACATTAAACCAACATTAAGGAGGTTAATCGTGCATCGTAAATCGTCCTTTTGCCTTCTGTGCGATTTCCTTTGTTGCTGTTGCATCTACAGTTGTGCAGTCGAAATCGGGTTACACTGTGCTGATTATTGTACTGGATAAGATATGCGAAATGCGATATTCTAATTGCCGTTTTATGTTGCTACGTAATGTTGAACGTAGTTTTAGTGAGACAGCTATAAGAATTAATAAAACTGGAGTTATGTGTGTTTTAGCAGTGATTATTAGTTTGTCAGTTAAAAATGATAAATAACATCGTAAAATTTGCCTTTGTTATTGGATTGTTGCTTGTTGTCATCGTTTCCGTGACTTGTTTGTACCTCTAAACGCCTAACAAACTGATGTTGTGTTGTTGTCATGGACATATGGGTTAAGGTAAACCAGCAGGTCCACTTGTTCCAGGGTGATGATGTCCGACACAAGCACTCCTTTTGGTTATCGGGATATGCAAATTTTTTTGTATCAAACTGGCGTCATACGTGAGTGAGCGTATTTTTGTACTGTCGTGAATGATCACTCAGTGTATTATGCAGATTAATGGTGTATAACTGAGAGACAGGCGGAGACATTTAAATACCTTGGAGTAGCATTCGCTATGGAGAAGAGGCAAAACTAAGTAGATACACTGCTAAAT